TTTTTTTTTTTTTTTTTTTAAAGTTTGAATTATCGTTCTTCTCTCAGATATTTGGTAATGCCATGTATTTAGAAGATCTACGTGAAATTACGATGCATGGTTATGACTATGTTACACCCAAAGGTACTGTTTTATCCATCTTTTTTTTTCCTCCTTAACTTTGTTGTTATTAAGTTTAGTCTTCATCCGTTATAGGCTTTCAATTTAGCAAAGGAATTATGAGGGGTGGATTTTACGATCAAAACCGGTTAAAGCTAAAATTTGCGAAAATCATCAGAGAAAACGGAAATTTATGCTCTGAAAAGGGAGAATGCCTCAAAGACATCAACAATAGAATTGTACAAGTACTTGAAAGAGAAAGAGATAAATTGGTAGGATATTTAGAAACGTACAAGAAAGAAATTGCAGAGTTGCGTAAATCAATTGATTCGGAAAGGTGATCGTAGATCTTATTTAAATGAACAAAATTTCTTCTTATATTGTCTGACCGATAGGATTGGATAGGTTTTCTAGGGCTATTTTGGACATAGATGATAGATCAAGATTGAGTCCATGTCCCACCTCTTTGGCATTCATGCATAATAATTTATTTTAGTGGTGGTTCTTTTTTGTATTCCTCAAATGTATGCTTCTCTTGTTAACAATAACATAGTCAAAATACAGGTACACTGGAAAGGAAGAAGAGGAATTAAAGGGTCGGCTTATCAATTCCAAGAAGAGACGAAAAATATTCAATACACCAGAAAACTTAATAGCAGACTCTAAGAAACAAATAGAGGATCTTGAACGCTATGCTACTGTAAGTGACCTCGGTTAACCCAATAGACTATATATTTATATTGGGTGTTTGTTTAGACTTAATATAGAAAGAACAACTTAATAACTTTTTTTTTTCACATTTTCCCACACCTATTTTTTCCTTCCAATTCCCCAAGTGTGCCTTCACTTCTTTAATAACTTTGCCATCTTGTGTACCAGGTAACCAGAGCTATGTTATCAGAAGTGGACAAAGAGAAGGATCTTTGTATGCAAAAGATCTCCACAACTGTGAATAATTGTTTTGGAGATGTGATTTCTAAACTTGTCCCAGGCTCTTCTGGGAGGTTGACAATGATAAAGGAGGAGGTTGGTTTTTGTCTGTTTCTTATACCAAATTTTAGACTTGTGGCAATTTTATCTTCTTACTTCTGGTTTCTTATAAAAACAGGACCGAGGTCCTGCTGATAATACAGAGGCGGGTCCCACAAATTGCATAGGTGTGAAAATGGAGGTATAAAGCTCCTTTTTCATAATAGGAAATAAACAAACATGTCTTATTATATAGGAAAAATGACATATAGACCCTATAATGTTTTTAGGGTTTACCAAAATGACATATAGGAAATAAACAAACATGTCTTATTAACTTATTTTTTTGCCTAATAAGGGAATGAACTCATTTTTGTCGGGTCTATTAGGTCATTTTGGAAGAATTGAAGGGGTCATCCAGTTACCCTTTTCCATATTGACATTTGTTGACCAATTTTCTCACGTTGACTTTTAATTTTTCCTACCTTTGGTCCCACATATATCTCTCTCTCTCTCTCTCTCTCTCTCCCAATAACACAATCTACGAGGCATCCACCATCGTCTTCTTCCTCTCAACTTTCCTCTCAAAGAGTTTACCCAAACACTAACATCTAATAAATATTTTTTCTATTTCTATTGAATTTCATTCGTTTACACAGTAAATTTAACCATTGTCCATACGTATTCTTTTACAATAAATTCAATAGATTTGACAATTGAAAAGACAATAATTTTTATCCTCTGTATCCCGTTTTCATCTGCCTGCTAATTCCATGAGCTGGTTATAATGAAAATCAAAGGATAATCTAAAGAAGAGAAAATCGCAAGAATCAAGGGGTCTAATAACGAATCAACGAGATTTAGATGATAATAACGCATACAACCAAGGGATTCCAGCTCCGATCACCACCCTACCCCCGCTCTCTCTCCTCCACCCACACGTCTGTCCTGAATCAAAACACAACCTCGACGCGCCATCAAACATCACCGCCCCCCTTAACACCCGTGAATTCAGGGCTAGAAATAGAAGATTATTGGTGGAAACTGGGCAAGAAAATCAGTTGTAGTTTTGAATTCTACAAGTAACGACATCAACAATCCAACATCCAAATACGGTA